CTGCATGAAAGTTGGTCTAATATTGGGAATTTTGTGCCAGATGTTTTGTTATGGAAATGGTCGGATATGTTTAAGATTTTGCATGTTTGACATCTTGGATGGCCACAAATTTTGGTTTTGACTGCTGATTGTATATTATTTGTTTCTTTGGCGGCAAGCTCAGCGAGAGTGTTGTTTTTTATACGTCGTAGATAGCGTTTGGAGTATCCCCTTTCCCTTAGTTTGCTAAATACCAATGTACATGCTGACTCAAAGTCGGTCTTCTGAGTACATATCCTATGAAAACGGAGAATCTGAGATTTTATGATGCCAGAGAATGTATGTTTTGGGTGAAAGGAGCTTTTGAACAATAATTGATATGTATCGGTTTCTTTGGAAAATACCCTAGTTTCCAGTTGGCCTGTGATTTTGGTGTTGCTACTTTTAAACACGGTAGTATCAAGGAAATCTATGTTGTTATGACTTACATTTGCGGTTAATTTGACAGATGGATGATGATTGTTCAGAATGTTGAAAAACGTCCAAAATTCGTCTAGTGTGTACGTCCAGACTATGAAAACGTCATCTAAAAACCGCCCATAGAAATCTGGTTTTAATGGACAGAGTGGCAGAACTTCCCTTTCCCATTCCGCCATGAAGAGATTTGCATAACTCGGTGCAAATCGTTTTCCCATCGCAGTTTCGGAAGACTGGGGGTATACTTGGTCGTTAAAAGTGAAGTCATTCCTCCTCAGACAAATGTCGAGTAGTTTGATGATTACTTTGTCCGGCCTGGATGCTTGCGGGTTCCTAAGAAATGCTTTCCTAACTGCTTCAATACCTGTGTTATTATCAATGTTCGTGTACATGCTTTGTACGTCGATGGATATTAAAATGGTGTGTTCGGGGACTCTTAACTGTTTGATTTTCTGAATGAAATCGTTAGTGTCTTTAAGGTAGGATGGGTGTTGGCATGCTAGGGGTAATAAGAAATGGTCTATATATTGTGATACGTTGTATGATTCGCTGCCACAGTCTAATATTATTGGGCGTCCCTTGGGTATTTTATTAGGTATAAACCATTCTGTTTCTGGATTTTTATGTATTTTTGGTAGTGTATAGAGATGTCTTTGTCGGCAGTCAGATTTAGCAGATAGATAATCATATAAGATTCATATAAGATGTTGTTTATTAAAGTTGCGGTGTCCTTAAAGATGGGTTGGTCTAATTTAGTGTAATGTATAGGATTACTTAATTGTTTTTCTGCCTCTGAGATATAGTCTGCGCGATTCATTATGACACAACACGAGCCTTTGTCGCTTTTCTTAATTATTATGTTTTTGTCTTTTTTAAGGGTGTTTAATGCCGTTTTAGTTGCTCGGTTGAGATTTGGTTTTTGTGATTGTGGTTGAATGGATGATATTTCTATATTCATTTCGTCGAAGTTTTTTAGGATGGCTGGTGATAATGACTTTTTAGGTGGTTTCCATGTGGATTTTGCTGTGAATAATTTTTTACCTCTGCCGGGTTTGTTCCTAAAAAAATAAGTCAACGAAAGTGCTCTTTGGAAGCGATCGGTTGCCTGGCTGATGCGGTCTATGGATGTTATTGTGGGGGTTGGGATGAATTTAAGGCCTTTATCAAGAATGTTCATTTCTAGGGAGTTGAGAAGTCTGTCGCTCAAATTGACAACTGTCTGTCCTAAAGACGGCTTCTCATTCCTTTTCCCTAATCCTAGTTTAAATTCCTCATCCAGCAGTTGATGATCTCCCTGGCCGTGTCTGGGCTCCAGTGGATTGCGTCGTTACCTTTCAGTTCTATTTTGCCCTTGAAGGTTGGTAATGTGGTGGCGTTTGGTGAAGGTGCAGTGGAGATCAGTTGGTTGTAGCTGGTGATGTTTTGGTAGGCGATCGGATTTTCTTGTCGGAGTCGGGAAGAAGTGGGGATCTGTGTGGTGAAGAGCTTTTTTGTTGGGAAAGCTGCTCTGGTCACCTTGAGTAGATCTAGCATCTGCTCGTGTATCCTTGGTCCACTTGAGCCCGACGTGTATCACTAATTCTTCTGGTGCAGGACCCATGTAGTTCTGGAGTATCTGTTTGATGTGGCTGATCTTGGCTCCAGAATAGCTATGGATCTCCCAGTCCCCGAGGAAGGATGCAATCCTAGCCAGGTTAGAGGATCCAATAACCAGGGTCTTTGCCATGACGGGTGGTAGGAACTATAAATCCATCTCGTCTTTACCTTTGTAGCTGTGAGGTCTTTTTAGGGATAGGTTGAGTGATCGCCTACATCTGGTGGAAGATCTGGTGGCGATTCTAGGGTTAGGAATGATGGGCGATCTAGGGGACAGACAGTCGACAAGCGCGTTTAGTGGCGATATAGATCCCGAGGAAGTAGGTGAGCCAGACACAACCCGGGGCGAACTGGTTGATCTAGCTGCACGCTTCGAGGGAGTGTTAATGCAAGTGCCTTCTCCAGGGGATAATTTTCTCTTGTTGGGTGTGTATCGTTTTGGTGTGTCCCGGAGAAGGTTGTGTGTAATGTGCATGGGTGATGGGGGAGGGGGCGTGACAGTTTTAGAGACCGTGGACAGTAGGCGGTGGAAATCTGTCTTCACACTATCCTGAAGTCGCTTGCCGTAGGACTTCTTGGCCCATGCTAGGGCGTGGCTAGAGTACTCTTGTACAGCATCTTTGGTAAAGTGACGTGACTTCAAGTACTCCAGTTTCTCCGCTAGCATGGCTCGGTAGTGTGTCGACAGGGATGAGGCGACGTCCTTGGCCCATTTCAAGTTCAATGTCTCAATGGTAGTGGCTATGGTAGGCGTGTTCATGGCCGGCTTCACGAACTTATTCAGGTCTTGAATCTTCCAAGTGAAACTTCTGGTTGGTGTTCCATTCTCCTGGCTCTCCATAATGGTAAAGTGGTGGAGGCATTGGAGGACCTGAAAGAAGGCTTTCACGACACCTGCATTTTCTTGGGGTTGTTGGCGCTCCTTTGGTAGACGTTGGTTTGGTTGGCGCTCCTTTGGTAGACGTTGGTTTGGTTGGCGCTCCTTTGGTAGGCCCTGGTTTGGTCGGCGCTGGAATCCCGGTGGTGGTTGGTGGAATCCAGGTGGTGGTTGGTGGAATCCAGGTGGCGGTTGGTGGAACCCAGGTGGTGGTTGGTGGAACCCAGGTGGTGGTTGGTTGAATCCTGGTGGTGGTTGGTAGAAGCCTGGTGGTGGTTGGTAGAAGCCTGGCGGTGGTTGGAATCTATTTCTTAACTGAGGCCAGTCCATTGGTAGATGCGTGGGAAGAAGAGGACGTCTGGTGCGGGACCTATCCATGTTCCAAAGGTTGGGGAAGGTGTTTGTAATTATGCAAATGGGTGCGACGAGACAATAGAGGGGAACAAAAATTGATGTGTATAGGTTGTGTTCGGATCTGTTCTCTGTAATATATCTGGTGTAATATGTGAATGCAAGGCCTAAATGTAAGTTAAACTAATATATATGCAGTTATGTTCTATGCCAGATATTCGGCGATGCTAAGACAAAGAATGTAGAATTAAATGGCGGATTGATTAAGGCTTGTGCTCAAGCGTCCTTTACCAGATATTCGGCGATGCTAAGACAAAGAAATGTGGAATTAAATGGCGGATTGATGTGTATAGGTTGTGCTCGGACCTGTTCTCTGTAATATGTGAATGTAAGACCTAAATGCAAGTTAAACTAATATATATGTAGTTATGTTCTTTGCCAGATATTCGGCGATGCTAAGACAAAGAATGTGGAATTAAATGGCGGATTGATTAAGGCTTGTGCTCAAGCGTTTATAGTAAATTCCCTGAATTGTAACGTAACGGAATGAAATTGGAAGAACAGTAACTGTGAAAATACAATAAATCGTTTGAATTTAAGTGTTTATTGGTCACACGGTCTGTAGTGTGGTTAAATCCCAATAATTCAATTCAAAAAAGAAAAAGAATTTAACAAGTATAACAAAAGCGTGGGTGTTACATAAAATATACAATAAATATACAAATACTCATTTGTATAAAGCGGCCATTTTGGTATGAGTTCTGGCTTGTTCTGGAATTTGTTGCTTCTAGTGGTGATAATATTTTACCGTGCGGTAAGGACGGCCAGCCCAGCCCTCGATAAACTACTAGAAGGTTTTATTACTCAACAAATACCTTCTCGAAGTATGTTATGAAATCTAATCGAGTGCTCATAGATAGACAATTACGAGGACATAAACCAAACTGATAACTTCCATAAAAACAAGAATGAAACTCTTGCCAAAGAACTAACAATTTGTCATGTGACACAGCAATTAACTCCCAATCTGGTAGACTTACATATTGTCTAGAAAAAAAAATTATAAGTTTAAAATTTGAAAAGGCTAATGTGTGAACCGTATAAGAAAATAGTCACGTACATTTAATCAAACACTTTTTTTAATCAGCACTGTTTAAATGCAGATAATACTTTTACATTTAATTGTGCCGTTAAAAATAGTCTTCACGTTTTTACAATAAATAAAGAACACCCCTCTAGCCAAAAGATCTAATTCATCTTCAGTGTCAGCGATTTGCAGTTTACAGCTATGAAATTATAATTTGATAATCTGGTCTGGCCAGGTAAGCTAACCCCACAGAGTTGTCCAGATAAGCTTAATATACTCCATTCTCTTTCAAATTTTCATTTGTCACCTAATAATTAATATTCCCTATTCCCGTGAATTTTTCATTTGGTACCTGCAATATAAAGGTGATCAAATGGACAAATACCTGCGCCACTTCATTGCTATTGTACGTGACAAGGAGTAGGGTTGCCTGTCCAACCTCGTGGGGGTTTTCCGGGTCCCTCCCACTGCTAAAGACCCCTACGCGCAAGCGAATTATTGAAATAAAATTAAAACCATATGTCAGTCCCGAAATGACCTAGTTTGTGTCGAGTGGACGTTAAACCATATTTCTCTCTCTCTCTCTCTCTCTCTCTCTCTTGGTTGCTAAATTTTATTTTATTCTATTTACAGGTCCAAGTGACGTGTCCCAAGTGTTATGGAAGTTGATGTGTGCCTATATAGTTCTAGGATTTCTAGGCTTCTGTTTGATTTTACTTATACTAGATAGAATAGGCGCAAGATCAGATCCAGAAAAAACAGGTTATCAGGTTAGAATTCATGTTTAACTTATTTTTTGATGACTATAGAATCCGGTCAACTTTTTAATCAAACAATATTGACCTGTATCATCCATCTTCCAGAACACATTAAAAACATTATTTCAGTACAAAATTTCTATTAGTATGACTGGTTAAGTGATAGACAAGTTTATACCGAAGATCGTCTTCATTAGCCCAGTTGGTGGAGAAAAGTAGGACGTTAAACTCAATTTCATTTCATTATACTAAGGAGATTTGGCCTTTAAGAAGTGAAAGTTTTAAACAAAAGAACCCAGTTTAATTCACTGAATAAAACTTGGTAGTTTTGTTATACAACCATATTTTCATGTGGACGTATATTGTGGTCAACCCTGCCCACCCGGTCGTCTGTCCACAATTTGTTTGTTGCCAGTCTACAGGTAACAATTTTCATCCGATTTTGATGAAACTTAAAATGTAAGTTGATAACCCAAAGATCTTGGTTCCTGTCGATATTCGTGCATATCTGATCGCAACTTCCTGGATTATAGCCGCTGATTGTACGAAAAATCGCGTTTTAGCTTGTGGTCCCTCTAAAGAACACAATTTTTATCTGATTAAATAAAAACCGTTCAAATATATCACTGTTACAACATAATGACGGCTGAGTTCGAATGTCGTGAAAATCGGACCGAGACTGCCTGACAAAATGGCCGCTCCTCGTACGCAAATAGTGTAAAAGTATGGTATATAAAGGTTGTGGACCCTCTAGAGGTCACAATTTTGATCTGATTTTGATGGAACTTTAAAAGTTCCTTTCGGTAGGACGTAACTACACAGATTTGAAAAACCGTTTAAATATATCACCGTTACACCCTAATGATGGTTGAGTTTGAATTTCGTGAAAAGCGGATGGAAACTGTCCTACAAGATTGCTGCTACTTATACGCAAATACTGTAAAAGTATTCATGCATATCGAACCATAACTTCCTGGATTATGGCTCCTGGTTGTACAAAAAAACGCATTTTTTTTAGCTTGTTCTCTGTCCATCTCTTGCAAAATGTGGGCGTACATGTATCTTGCATGGCAACCGCTGGTATGTATAAATATAATACGAAAGTGTAGCGCTAGTTCCACACTTAAAGATGTTCTATCCGCTTGTTACACAGTTTTAAATTAAATATAACGTTTATAAATACTGGAAGATTGTTCCATTTTGATGGAGAAAGAAAACCAAAGATCTTACTCTAAATGTTTTCATTTTTCACCCTGGGGTTACCAACTCTATTTGATCACATGAGTGTAAACTCTGGGAAGGCTCTTATTAAACCATTTATTGTTGTCACACGTAACTATCTTATATTCTGTGATATTGTTAAGCTGGGGGTTCTTCTTTAAAAAGACACACTAAGGCTTTTATTATACTTCCTCATTTTCATGTGCGAGAGTTCCAATAAATAGAAGCAGGTAACACAAACGAATTACAGATGGTTTGGTGGGATCAATTTTGACTAAGTCAAATGATTCATTTGATATTAAAATAAGTTGATATACAATATGATATAGAATACAATATCAAAAAAAACATTGTTTTATCCCAACGTTTCGTTATTGAAATATCAACTTCTTCAGGGATGAAGTATTAATGGCTGGAAATTAAAAATGGCCGGCAAAATTTAAGCCAAAATTACCCGAATTTTGCAATATGTCTTATACATGTGTTTTGGGGTTGTTGTGTTCAACTCTGATCTCAAAAATAAATTTCAAGAATTCTTGATGGTAGAAATTCAAAATGGCCTGCAAAATGAAATCCAAAATGGTGGAATTTTAATTAATCGTCATTTCTTTCCGTTGGGTATGGCTTGTAATATGTCGTATATATGGGTTTGGTGGTTACAGGGTTCTAATTATGAATGGTCCAGATGGTTTAAATATGAAACGACAATCAAAATAGAAACGAAAATGGCGATGCCTGTCCTTGTGGATATTGCTTGTAATAGGGTTTCTAGGGTTACTGAAATCAATACTGGGTTCAAAAACTTACTTTCAGATAGGATCGTCACACATCAAATTTGTGCGTAAGCTAGAACTATCAGGACAAATTTCAGAAAACATTTTTACGGTCAGTTTTATAAAAGCAAGGAGAAAACCCCACCTGACCCCCAATAGAGTGGGGACCCCTCGCGAGGCCAAGTTCGTCCCCTAGTGTATCTTGCTTTTGAAAAACTGTACTAATGAAGCAATCACAAGAGCCTGTCATGAAATAAATAACAAACAGAAATGAACTTGTGGCAACTATCGGCCTTCATGCTACCAGGGACAGACCGGGGATAGCGGATATCTAAACCATGATGCAATAGACTTGCATCTGGATGCAATAGACTTGGTTTAGAAAATTCTAGGTACGCACTGTTAACCACCCATAAATGTTTTAATGACAAATCATATAGTTTATTCAACTCGACGAAAGACATAAAGGGATATTCCCAGACGGATTTTGGAGAATAAAACTGCTTAATTTTGTGTTAAAAGCTCTTAATAACCTCTAACTTAGATCCGAGCAACTTTCTCAAGCCATGTAATACGTTTTCAAACAACTTCCAATCGTCGGTATCGCTCTATGTTTGAAGATTTGTTTCCTGTTTGCGTTGTACAGAAGTGCCTGGATAACACGCGACTATGTGCTGCGCGTGCGCAGTGACCTTTCCAGTTTGTTTTTTCTAGTCCGGTGACCATGGCACAATACTAATTCTTTGTACGATCTGGAAAATATTTTTATCTAGGGTTTAGGTTTAAGAATTTGGGGGGGGGGGGGGTCAAGTCTCCACATAAGCACTGACCTAGGGTGATGTAAATTTGGTTCGTGATATTTCCTAGTTTATTAAAAACTACATACAATACATTAGATTAATATACAAAGTTGGTTTCGCTGTTTTTTGGTGTTGGTGGCGCTGTGTGTTTCCTACTAAGGATTGGGTATTCTAAAAATGAGTTGTTTGCACTATCCCGGGGTTAGGGCTAGGGCTAGGGATTCTTATAACTAGTTGATTTTATTTACTAAGGGTTAGGGCTAGGGTTTGATAAATTCTTTGCTTAGGGTTAGGGTGGGGGCTTGTGTTATTTAGTCTAATTTACTGTGCACTAGGATGTCGTTCAGATTTTTATTTTTAGAATATGCAATTATAAGTTTCTGGGTGAAGATTTTCGGGTGATTTTCTTGGAGATCAGTATAGTGTTTTCTGATGATTTTGGATGCACTTGCTGCTGTTGCGCTAAATGGAACTACAAATGGGGCTATTGCGCTAGCCGTATGCATATTCAAACCTAGTGGGGGGGGGGGCTGTTGTTTTCAATTTGTCAATCCAGAATTGTTCTCTTATTAGCGTAGACGTTCTTCTGTAGTTTCAAAGCCACTCTTGGTCTCTTCTATTAGCATGACAATGTGTTCAGAAATATCATTATTTGGTTGGTTGAAATGAATTAAACACTGCCCTTGGAGGGCCCCATTATATGCCGGTTGCGCCGGTCTCCTGATTCTTATCAGTAACGCTGGCATCAGGGTGGTACGAATTAGTGGAAGGCACGACTAGGCCAACTCCTCCCTAGGTAACAAAAAATCGCATCATAAAACAGCAAGTATCATCAAAAGCGAGTAAATAAATCTCTGAATAGTTCGAGTTGAAGTTCCAGGTTTAACCGCTATGTGTCCTAATCACCAAACGAAATGGATGCCACGCAATTCTCGGATAGGCTGTAATCTGAAAAGTGTCTACCCTTTCCAAGAGCTATCCATCTCGTTGGAAGGGCTAAAAATCTATTTGTTTCTGAGCTTACTTTCATTCCAGGGTCAAATATAATCACTTGAACCATAATAATATTCAACATATTCCATCATATTCCGAGGGCCGCACACAGGATTTTTTTCTCGATTACTTTTTGAGCTTTTTTCCTCAACTTGTTGACCAGTTTTCCTTGAGAAAACTCCAACTTTCGCCCAATTGTCCATGAGAAAACTACATATTCTATCTTACTGCACTGACGGAAAGTGGTAAGCTGGACGTCTGTGAAAAGGGTTGATCGATAAATTTTCAAGGAAGCAATTGTTGTTTTTGTTTGTGAAATAGAGGACTCTAGCCGATGAGACTACCCCCCCCCCCCCCCGAGAACCTCAGGCAATCAATTTGTTTTATGTACTACTATCGTAATAAAACATTATGTTAACCACTTCCTGGTGGCTGAAGACTTACACCGAATGTGTATTCGGAAAAAAAAGTCCCCGAAAAAATGTTTTTTCAGACTATCGATATTCGAGATGTCTTCTGTTGCACAAATTATGCTGCACTGTGTAAGAACTTGCATCCTTTGATCTGAAGATTGTAGATGGAAAAGTATCATTTGCACTATTTCAAAATAAACCTGCATTTTCGTAAATCATCCCGTAATTTGTGATTAATGACAATGACTGTGGAAATAATATGGGTTGAGGAACGGAAGATCTATGTTCGTCACGTGACTGGACAATTCCACCCCCGTCCCACCCTGACGATGATCCCTCCCGGGGCGGCGCGGCGCGCTCGCTAAAAAAATCTCGGGCACAGTTTACTCTTCTAAGTTTTCCGGTGGCTATTTAATAACCCGGAGTTTGGTCCTCGTGTGTGGTTTTGGACCAGGTGAGCGCTGATGAAATAAGTTCATTAACATACAAGCGAGCGATCGCCTACGGTCAAAGAAAAATTTCTTTTCAGATTTTTTTTAACAATTTCCTCTCCCAAATTTCTCTAGTATTTTTCTCTGTAAAATTATTTTCTACGGAATGTTTTTTTTGTAAAACCAATTTTTCGGAAAAATTCGAATTTTTTTTTGGTGACACAAAATTTTTTTCGTCAAAATTTTTTTGTAGAAATAGAAATCGGAATTTTTTTTGGGGGGGGTGGGGGGGGGCTATTTGTAAAATGAACATCGTAATGACCTTGGCCTTCCTTCTTCGGGCTCCGGGTGACCTATTTAGGGTGTTTTCCGGTATTTAGA